AAAGTTCCCTACAAGAGCGGTGATCTTCATGTTTTTATTGCTGAAGGGTCATGTTCAGACTTTATGAACCCAACTGATGATTGAAAGCCATTTCCAATGCAGTGTGCATTCAATTTTTAGGCATATAGTATGCTTTTTCAGCAAGGACAGGGTATAGTTGTATTAAAAAAAACAAGCCAAGTTCTGTTAGCAGGGAACTTAACAAAGTCTGAACTCATCTCTAGTGTCTCTGCTTCTGTTACAATATCTTCAGATCTCCTCCCCTTCCCTCGTCATTCCTCCGAGCGTATAATTTCTGACTTTCTTCCTTGTCGTCTTTCTCTGTGTTGGCTAACCATGGGTTTGTCAAAAGAGGGGGCAAGACTGTAGCTCGGTCTGAATGCGGGGCCTGGTGATAGGCCTGGCCAGTGTACGTGCTCATAGAAACCAAACCGAGAAGATAAACTTTGCACTCGTCTTGCAGGCCTTCCCTCCATGGTGGGGTATGGATTTGGTTTCTCTAACGTGCCTCTGATTTTTCACAGAAAGTCAAAGGTGCTTAGTGTTTTCGAGCTCTGATATCTGTCTGTGGTCCCTGTTATTGGGAGTGGATGGGGGATAGGCAGATAGTGCGGTTGTGGCCTTTGTTTTAGGAACCAGTTGAAAAAAGGCTTCATCTCTACTAGTCATACTCCATATCATCATACTCCCAGGAGTCAGCCCTTGCCGGTACTCTGCTATTTCTTTCATTACTAGCAGGTGGAACCCAGAGCTGCGTTTAGGAGATCTGGGATTTCTGCTCTGCTGGCTACTGGTCTGACCTCAGAGAAACATTTGATTCCCAGCTTAGGAGGAGGAGGATGATGCTGATCTTTTGGTCAAGTCCTTGGGGGTCCGTGAGGAGGAAGAGGTGGATAGAGGAGGCAGAGAAGTGCTCTGAGAGCCAACGCAAATGGTATTTAAAAGCAGCTCTATAGGTCGGCTTAGGTGGCTGGTCTGACACTGGGGAGTAACTGTGGTGCAGTTGAACAAAGCTAGAGACAAAACTGTATGTTATGTTTTGCATATTCAGTGTCTTCAAACTTCAGATAGTTCTCATTTTTCCTACAAAGTGGTATATTAATTTAGTCATTGGGGTGTGTTAACAAATAGTTACAAAAGGCTTATGCAAATTTATGTGAAATTGGAGATTTGGTATATCTGGCAAGAGACCAGGGCGATATCTTGTTATTGAATTGACTTTGAAATAGCTTATGAAGGTGCTATATAGCCTTTGCAGCAAAAATAACTTGCGCTATTAAAATAGTCCGTTCTGTGGGCTACAGGAATGCAGTTTGGGAAATACAGAAAAAGAGGGGAGGAGAATTAAAAATGCTGGCACTTCTGGTCATTTACTTACTTTCTTGACCATTAAGAAAGTTGTCACCTGGGGGAGGGGGAAAAGCTTGCAATATACATGAATAAAATGTCTTTGTTCATTTCAGTTAACTTGTTTGATCTAGTTGAGTTAAGCCAGGGGCTTACTATTACAGTCACAGTGTAGAAGCACTGTGTCGTGGTGGGCACGTGGGTTAATCTTTATCCATGTTTTTGAAAGAGAAATTGGAATGAATAGCTAACGCTGGAAACCACCTGGCTTATTCTGAAAAGTGCTTTTGGGAAGGTAGATTTCATGTACTCAAGGGAAGCTACTCTCTCAAAATCCATGGCTTTCCAGGAAGCAGTGGGATTGCCTTCCTAGGTGTGGGATTGCGGGGTTGCTTTAGCCACTAGGAGTCTGAGCATACAGCGACTTGTTCCTCTCGAGCCCAGTCTCTGTTGCAATTTCTAGTTCTAATTTGTCATTTCTTATGCATCCTAGTTGGCAGCAGAAGTAGTAAAAACTGTTTTATAGGCATAGCTCAAGGAGTTTACAGGTGAAGATGATGAGCTGGTGGTGTTGAGCTATGAATTGGGGAGTGACCAGGGATAAACGTTTTACAAGGGCCTGGAAGGATGCTTGTGTGCTTGGTGGATGGACTGAAAGATGAGGATAATAGTTATAAGCAAAAGCTTTGGAAGATCCTGAGGACCCCCTTAGTTATTGCTACTTCTGTTTTTGCCTGCCTGGTACCCAAACGGCTCTGCTCAGGATGAGGCTGGTGGATGCAGTGGGGGGATGCTGTCCCGAGCGTGGAGCGTGCATGGCTTTTGCAAAAGGAGTATTGAATCGCTGAGTCTCGCTGCTTTTGCCCCATCTTGTTCGTGTTATTTCCTATAAGCAGGATGTCTAACTGTCTTTCTGTCTTCCCTCCCCTTCTCCAGGCTGCCCTCTGGCGAGGCAGTGAGAGGCAGAGGAGCTGGCCTCGGCACCGGGAGAGGCTGGACTTCCCGTCTCTCTGTGCTGAATGGCTGCGATGGCGCCCGCTCTCACTGACGCAGCAGCTGAAGCTCACCACATCCGGTTCAAGCTGGCTCCCCCGTCCTCCACCTTGTCGCCTGGCAGTGCCGAGAGCAACGGCAACGCCAACAACATCCTCCTGGCTGCCAACGGCACCAAAAGGAAAGCCATTGCTCCGGAGGATCCCAGTTTAGATTTCAGAAACAACTCTACGAAGGAAGAGCTGGGCAAGCTGCAGCCACTGCTGGCCTCTTATCTCTGCTCGGATGTAACATCTGTTTCTTCAAAAGAGCCTCTGAAGCTGCAAGGAGTCTTCAACAAGCAGACAGTCCTTAAATCTCACTCTCTCTTATCTCAGTCTTTCTTGAAAACGAGTGATCTGTTGGGGAGGCAACCAGTGTTGGAATTTACTTTGGAGAATCTAAAAACAATGAGTACTAATAGCCAGCCACCTCTCCCGCAAGCGCCTGTAAACGGCTTGGCCAAGAAATTGTCCAGAAGTACCAATTCAGACCATGAAAACTCTAGTTCTCTGAATGGTGGGAAGTGTGCTCCCCCTTCTGCTGCCCTCCCGGGTGTTGACTATAATGCAGGAGGTTCTGAATTGGGGGACTTGAAGACCGGGTTGACCAATTGCACTCTTCCACATAGAAGCCTTGATGCAGAGCACACAACTCCATTTAGCAATAATAGCACTGCAAATAAATCTTCCCGTAATTCCATGGAGCAGCAGCGGGTGCTCGAGGGTGGCAGTGGAGAGGCAAGGTTGTCCAGTGTTGATAGTCACTCTGACTTTGGGAGCAGTAAGCTGGAGGAGCAGAAACCTTCCCTGTTGGCCGGTCACCACAATGCTCTCGACTCCGAGATGAGGACGAGGGCATTGCTGCGACGGCAAGCAGACATTGAGAACCGTGCTCGCAGGCTACAGAAACGCTTGCAGGTAGTGCAGGCAAAACAGGTGGAGAGACACATCCAGCAGCAGTTGGGTGGCTTCTTAGAGAAAACTCTGAGCAAACTTCCCAACTTGGATCCCCTGAGGCATCGGAGCCAGCTGATGTTGACCAGAAAGGCAGAAGCAGCCTTGAGGAAAGCTGCAAGTGAGACAGTTACTTCCGAAGGTCTAAGCAGCTTTCTGAAGAGCGATTCGATATCGGAAGAACTGGAGAGATTCACAGCCAGCGGTATGGCCAACTTGAGATCCAGCGAACAGGCGTTTGACTCGGATGTCACTGACAGCAGCTCGGGAGGAGAGTCTGACGTTGAAGAAGAGGAACTGACCAAAGCAGACCTAGAACAACCCCATGTACCGCTGTAAGTAGCAGCAATGCTTTGCTTACCTCTGGTGGGGGGGAGATCAAGGTGAAAGGTGGCAGATGGAAAATCTGGATTTTGCAAGAATATTTTACTTTTCTGATGGGCTTGGATCAAAGGAGTATCTGTTAAAACTAGTGCAGTGTTGTTTTTAGGACACTTCCTAGTTCAGGCAGCACGTGTGATATTCAAGATAAAATTCTTCGTGCACACAGGAGTCATTGGTGTTGCAGGGTGGCAAGTCCTGGAAATGCTGGCTGGCTGGAGCAGCTCAAGCAAGCAGCAGATACAAACCCAAAATATTATAAACAGTTCTCTCCAGTGGCTCGCTTATATGTTGGACCTGTCTCCTGAAATGAAATGTTTGTCTATTACACTGGGAGTCTTTGTTGTAAACCGGTTATATAAAGTAAGGTCAGTCTGAATCTTTGTAGCTGGCAGCATAATCCTGACTGGGGAATTATTATATATATTTTTTTCCCTTAAATGAACTGGTGGGGGGGAGGGGGGAGAACGGGACTCTGAAAGGATTTGGTCCAAGTGCCAATGGAAGGGTAGAGTGAGTGTGTCATCTTGAACCTCTGGGAAATTATTGTTGGGAGTTTTCCTCTTATCCATGAGTTGCATTAAATGACAACAACAGCCTCATAATTAAGTTGTTAACTGGATACTATTTGCATAAATATTAGCTGTTAATTTGTGTGTGGAGGCGGAAGATCATCATCAAGGGAAAAGGTCTTGAGACAGGTCAAGTAACAAAGGAAATTTTTTTTTTTCCCGAAGAAAAGCATTTTCCCTGAGAGCGCTTACCACGGTATTTTGAACAAATCTCTTAAAAGGCCATATTCTGTGTTCAGTCTGTGTAAAATCTTGCTTGCATCAGTAGATGATCTGTTCCACGCTGATGGACCTATTGAACTTAAACCTCAGTCTGTGAAGTATAGCTACTGTCAACAAAATGCTGTGCAACAGTCAGAAGTGGTCCTTTCTGGAATGCTGACATTTTTCTAATCAAGGCTTGAAAAATGTTAAGTCCGTGTGTAACTGTTAGCATACCTGGCCTATTCTGGGTTTTCTCAGATCTCTATGGAGAAATAACTTAATGTCTGTTTGTACCTGTTGTCCAAAGTAATGTTAGTGGCTATTCAAGTACTGTGTGACATAAATCTTGGGTAGGTAGGCGCACATGAGCGGTGTCTGGGAACTCTTTGTAGTTTTCTTGTATTCAGCAACTTCAACATCCTCCAAAACCGGTCTCGTATAGACAAGTGCTGATAAATATATATATTATAGCTCTTGACTATTATATGTTCTAGCTTGTTATTAGAGGAGGCATTTGCTGAAATTGTCTGTCTAAAGTAATATCAAACTTCCCATATTGTGGATTTCATAGTTATACTTCACGTGTTGTCTGGCAAAAATGACATTTGTTTGCTACTCATCTTAATCCCTAGAGGAAGTGTGGTATTCAGAGACATGATGCGTGAAATTCTTTTCTGACTTTTCTGCCCTTTGTGTTAGTCATGCCTTTAAATTCCCCAGCCTCATGAGTACTCTTAAAAAGCCAGTGATTTTAAAGCTAATAAAAAGAATTATCCTTGTTGTCTATAGATTCAGAAGCTGATGTGCGTGCATACTGGCGTTTAGGCCAGGCCCACCAAACCTAGTTTGAAGTCCATGCCTGTGGCTATTTAGTAATTAGTCTTTCCAGCATTGACTGTCCTGCTGGCATGAGTGCTTTGACATTGGGTCTTCACGAGGTCTGGCATTACTGAAGTGGAGGCTGAATGCATGTTGGTGCCTGTTACAGGAACTCCTTAAGTCAGCCTTAAGAACTGGTACGTACATCTGAGTAAATAGCATTCTTTTCAAAAATAGTGCGAAGAGACAGGAAGAGGAAGAGCTAACTCTCCCACTGGAAAGCTGCCTTGGGCCAGGTTACTATACAGAACCATTGTTTTACGTTTGTGTGAGCACAGAAAAGTGAAGGCTTGGTTTCGAGTGTGGCCAGATTTTGCAGCTTGCTGAACTTAGTTATTGGACAGAGGTCTTTTACCCTGACTATTCATTATTTCAGTAGTGAGACTGAGTATCTTAATGAGTGTATAATAGTCATTAAGAACCTTGTAAAAAAAAACTTATCTCGTCCCTCAGTCAGCATTCCGTGGGTATCCATTGCTCCTGGATGCCCTTTCCCCCAAGGAACTGCTTGATAACTCTTGTCTTCCTCTTACTTTGGTATTTCCTCTGAAGATAAACTTCTATTTTATTTATTTATTTTTACTTTTTAAATAATCTGGGTCATCCAAGTAAGTTGAGGAAGTCACTGGCTGTACTTCTTGGTGACTTTAAATGGGAGAGGAAGAAGTCTGTGTCAGCGATTTGAGCTGTCGTTAGCTCAATCTACTTGACCAAATACTTGCTGTGGTCCAGGGTCTGCTGTGGTAGTGTGAAGCATAAATACCTGTTACAGCTTAGCCTGAAACCTAACAGCTCCCTAAAATTTTTTAGCAGGCAGCTGAAGACCCCGATGGACTGTTTGGTTTATGACAAGGTCCCTTCTCCCAGACTAGTGAGAGCTATGCTACGGCTGTTGTGTCTTGTGGCTTGCTTGCTACAAATGTCTTTGGGATTCAAGTAGAAGCACGAAAAGGAAAGAAAATGTTTACCTCATGCTTAGATAAGAGTTGACCTTTGAGTTTTTCTGGCGTGGTGGCATTCCAGAATCAGCATCTGGTCAAGGACAGACTTGCAAGCCTTTGTACAGTTCTGGCCAGCCCGATCTTTGCTGTAGAGCAGAGTCTCCTTGAGGAACTGCATCTTTCCAGTAGCAGAAGACATACCACAACTCGGTAGGGCCTTTTAAAGGACTCACAGACCTGCCGCTCAAGCAGGCGGTGTCATTCAAGTGGATAACCAGGCCATCATGTAATGCATAAACAAAGCAGGGAGGTATTTGTTACACCTTCATTGTTGGGAAGCCCTGCCAGGTATGGGCTTGGTTTAACAAGACACTCCTGGTTCTCATGTGAAAGAAAGTGTGTACGGACAGGATTGGTTCGTGATGCATTCTTGGGTTTATTTGGATTAAGGACTACCAAATTACATTTCACTTGCTCTCAGAATAACAATATGCAACTGTTTACTTGACAGCTAAGAGCCTCTTATGTGTTGCTTCAAAAGTGTTTGTGGTGGCAGAGTCCAGGAGCAGCAGAAGCTTTGCCTCAGTTTTATGATGGCTAAGGCGAGCTGGGAGCCTCTGCTGTAGGGAGTCTTACCGAACTTTTTTTAGCCGAGCGTGACCGTAGGCAGCAGCCTCCTGAGATTTCATACTAGTTTGGAAGGGCCCAAGTACTGCTTGTCAACGTGATAGGATCAGGAGCTATTGTTTGTGAAAGATCACTTGGAGCAGGACATGTGAATTCCTGCCAGTGCTGGAGGGTTGTTGACTGGGGCTCTGGCGTATGTGATCAAGGTGATGCCATAGCGTCTTTGAGCAAAAGCAAATAAGCAAAATCCTAGTATTTTTATAGCTCGGTACTAGTACTTATAAATGGAAAGCATTTCATGTGGCAACAGTAGTTGCTTTTTGCAGCCTGCTTGGTTTCTTTGGTTGTCTTGCATTTGGCTGTAGACTAGTTTCATCAGAATTTGACAGTTATTTTTGGCTGATTTATTACCTACGTGGAGTAGTGATGTAGTAATCAGCTGATAGGTGGTATGTGATTTAGTCTCTTCCAGTCCCTGACCTCAGTCTGTGTATCATGTGAGACTTTGTTTTTAAAAAAAAAAAAAAAAAAAGACTGATGAAAAGTTTAATTGGAAATGTCTTCATACCATCTTTTACAAGGGTCAGGCAGTGCTGCGTGTTCAGTCGTGGTTGTTATGATGCCTATGGCCACGATGCCTAAGCACAGTTTATAATTATCCCCATTTACTGGTGGGAAATCTGAGCACCTTCTGCACTTCGGAGCTGCAGTGAATCATTCTGCAGCCGTGTGTGTTGACACCTCCCCGTGCTGTGTCGCATTGTGCTGCCTGGGTTTCAGGGCTGTTGGACTTGGAGTGGCGATGAAGTTGTTTTCATTAATTTGTGCTTTTGTCAAGCACTGCTTTCAAAGTCCTGCGATGAAGAAGAGTGCATATACTACTTATATCCACGGTTGTTTGAGGAGTAGTTGCAGTTGATGCATCAGTTGATTGAGCCATTTAGGCTTTAGAAATTCATGTTGTTTTCCCTTGATTATATTCTTCAGGGCGTTACAAGGAAGCATGTATCTCAAGGGCTATTAAATAGCGTTTCTCATGGCTGACTTCGTGGAGCTGCAACTCAGATGGCAGATCCCATGTTATTGGGACCAAGGAAGCTTTTTCTACTGGTCACAAGCATGGTTTACTAATTCTAATTTATGCAGAGCAATTGTAAGTCTGTCTCTACTGCTTATGACTTTTTTCAGTTACCTGCTCAGTGTTTTTGTTTGTTTGTTTGTTTTTTTGTGGCATTTTTCTTTTTTGCTCCCTACTTTGAGCTGTGTTTGTAGATACTGTCTGGAGAAGAGTGCCTAACCTTTTAGTGTTTAGCTGTTCATGAAAGTCTTTATATGCCCTGTGTGAATTGTTTCAATCATGTACTGCTCAGCAGCAGTATGTTGGTCACAAGAGATGTCCCTCAGGCTCCTTCCATTTGAGAAAGGAGAAAAAGAGCAAATCCTGAACATGTACTTGCTTTGTATTTGAAAACAGAATAGCAGAGAGCACTTATTGTTCAAAAATGCTTAATCAGGTATCCAGACTAAGTAGGACACTTTCCCAGTCCCTTTTGCCTTTTAAAAAAAAGAGGGCAAATGAAAACCCTGGTTGAGAAAGATGTTAAGAAAACCAAGTCAGTTATTTCTCCGAGGAACTTTGGTCATAGCACACCTTTTAAAGATGCAGTAGATACCTAGAGAGTTGTTTCTGGCTTTTGGTAGACCAAAAGCCTACCAAAGGCTGGCAGACCTGGTTGGAGTATGCAAGGAAGGTTG